CCGTGCGGACCCGCGAGATCTGTAACGGTTCCCGGAAGTTTCGTCAGTGCTGCTAGCTGCTTGCCCATGGAGATGGCCTGGGTCGTTCCCGTTTTGACCTCCCGGCTAGAAACATGCCACCGGGTGTTAAATAGCGGCCCTGTGCGAATTCTCGTAGAATTCTCGGTGAAGGAAATCGGTTTGCACCGACCCAAAGATATAATCCGAGAGTACTTGGACTCGTTTTTCAGCCCATGTAACCGCGCATGTGCGCATCATACGTAGCTCGCTATAACGTACAATTTAAGAGTACGGATATGTAATGTAACGGCTGCTCAGCTCAGCTAAGCAAGAAGAAATGCAAATTATACGCACTTCTAGCACCTTTCTGAGAAAAACATGAAAAGTTGGGGATTTATCTATCCGGATTTCAAGTAACCAGGGGAGGGTACCCATTCGGTGCTGGTAGCGAGTCGACGCTGCTTCACCTGCCAGCGTCGACTCGCCCTGTTCGCAGATCTCCTGTGCCGCCGCCATGTGCCTTTCGCCGGCGCTGCCGAGCGGTGAGGACCTCGTCCGCCATCAGCTCGAGCTGCAGCTGATCCTCCAGGAGGTGCACCAGCGCTACGCCGGCCGCTCAGGGAGGTACAACAAGCACGACACGGCGCGGCTCCGCTTCATAAAAGACACTGCCTTCCCGGGCCTGCGCTTCGGCAAGATGGTGCAGGAGCGAGACATGGCGATGCTGCGCTTGCCGCCGATGAGCGATCTAGCCGGCACTGCGCTGACCGAGATGAATGAGTGGTCGCGGCGGCACGCGCCCGACCCGCGCTCCGCAAACCAGGGAGAGGTGGCGCGGTTGGACGAGGAGCAGCAGTCGACGCTGCTCAGGTGGGCGGCCACACAGGCCAACGGCGGCTGCGTGGCCGACCACGCTGCTCGACGCGGCGCGCCGCCAGCCTATCGACTCCACTTCGGCGCATACAAAGGCCTCACGCTCGCGCAGCTGGTGTCAGCCTCTCGCACGAGCAAGGGAGGCGCGCGTGCACTCTCCGTATCGATGCGGCGCGTCATGAGCTGACTGGTCGCGGGTGGCTGCCTCGCAGGTGGCAAATCGGCGCTGCTTCCGGACGCGCCCGCCTCGCTGCGCTGCTCGGAGCCGGGTGATTACGTTCTCTGGCTGTGCTCCAACGATTTCAACGCCCACTTCCCATATCACGCGCCGCTCTATCTGTCCCTGCGGGAGCTTGAGGCCGACGGCTGCACCGTTTACAACTCCGATCTCAACTCGGCTTTCGACTTGAAGCCGGTCGCGGTGTGCGCCGAAACGAGGCAGCGATTTTCCGATTACGTCAACTCCCTGACTACGCCTCTGGTCGGCGACATCGACCCGTACGCCCCGCGCGACCCGGGCCAGGACGAGGCGGCAGCGGCGGTTCGCGGCGCAGCAGACGCCGACTCGGACGACGAGGCCGAAGGCGAAGTTGGCGGGTGCGACGCCGCGGCAGCGGGAGGCAGCGCCGACGGCGATTTTGTGCGACGCGGGAAGGCGGACGTCGTCTGCAATGGCGTCAGCCGCCAACAGCGCGAGTTCCTCGCGCGCGTGGTCGCAGAGCGCGCGAGTGGGAAGCGGCCATCCTACGAGGACGCTGAGCGGCTCGACGTGCAGCCGCCGGACGCGCTCTGCATCCCTTGCTTCGACGCGGACCTGTATCACCTTCTGCCGATCCAATTCTGGTCGCCCGGCGTCAAGTGGTCTCTTCAAATGCCGTGCCACAACCATGGCTGGAGCCATTCACGCTACGTCCATACCTACCCGGCGTGGCAGCAGCGGCGTGTCTGCGGCATCGTCACGGACTTCACCATTGCGGGCAACAAGCTGGAGTGCTCCGAGTGCAAGGCGGAGTATGTCCGCACGCAGAAGCTCCTAGACGCGGCCAAGAGCCACAACCCGCGCGCACCACGCGTCGCCGAGCTGGAGGCGCAGCTCGCCGCCTCGAGCTACCGCAGCAGCACGCTCGACGCGCGCGTCAACAAGTTCCTCTTCGAGCGCTACCCCGGGCTGGCCGTCGCGATGCCGGCCGTCCTCTCGCACAGGAAGGCCGTGTCGACCGAGCTGATGGCGATGGTGGCGCGGGCGGCGCGCACGCCGCAGGGCTCGCACGACCTCGAGGCGGCGCTGCGCGAGTACCGCTCGATCGAGAGCGCCAAGGCGCGACTGTCCTTCTACTGGCAACAAAGGCGTCAGCAGCGGGTGGTCGGTGGCGGCGATGGCGACGTCAAGGAGTACGACGTGGGCGTGAGCCAGGTCAGCGACACCTACCTGGCCGAGGTGCTCGACGTGTACTACGACTCGCACGAGACCTACCTCCGGCAGTGGACAGAGCAGCACGTGCGCTAACTAGTCACAGCTAATTAGTCACAGCTAATTAGTCAGAGCTAAGTCCGACAGCGATTCCACACACCGCGGCGCTCAACCTCTTGCTACGCCCAATCGTTGTTAGGTCGCCCTCGACATCGTGCAGAGCGACCATCACGGGAAGCGCTTCTCGAAGGTGTCGGTCAGCGGCGAGCGCGTGTTCAATTGGCGCTACACCGCGATGAACTCAATCGGCCAGACCGCCGTCGCCGTCTCCGTTGAGACCTGCTCCTACAGCGACCCGTCCCTTGTTGAGGCGCACCGGCTGGAGCGCGAGGTCGCCCGGCGCGAGGGGCGCGAGCCGCCTCGCGCGGCGTGGTGCGACAATCCTCACAAGGACGCGCCCGGGCTTCGCGCCGCTCTCTGGGCAGGCGACGGGCGGCCGACCTTCTCCTTCCCCGGCGAGATTCGGCTCGTCGAGTCCGAGGCGGAATGCGACGCGGCGTGCAGGTACCTTTCCCGCTTCGACATCGTCGGCTTCGACACCGAGAACGTGGCCTTCCTCGATGGCAGCGGCGCCAACTCGTCGAAGGCGGCCATCGGCCAGGCCTGCGGCGACGACAAGTTCTGCTTCCTCTTCCTCTTCTACAGATGGTCGAGCTGCTACCGGTCCTTCGCCACTTTTGCCTCCGGAGCGACCACGCACAAGGTTGCTAACCAGATCAGCCACGACGTGTCGGCGCTCAAGGCCCGTTTCCCCGAGATCTCGCGCAGGTCGGGCGCTCTCGAGCTAGGCGGCGCCGTAGAGCTGCGTGACGAGGTCCGCCACCTCTCGCTCGAGCGGCACGGCCTTGGCTTCATGGTCGGCGCGCTCTTCGACGAGTATCTGGACAAGTCGATCGATCACCGCTGGTGGGAGTCGCCCCAGCTCTCGGGACGGCAAGTCAAGTACGCGGCGGCGGACGCTTGGGCGCACTTGTCTGTCTGCGTTGCGGCGCGGCAGCGGCAGCCCGAGGACCTCTCGCCGGGGGAGCAGGAGCCGGGGAGCGACTCGGAGGAGGACGACGACTCTGAGCCGCGCGGCCCAGCAACTTATCGGCACGAGCGCAGGCCGCCGGCCGACCCGAGTCTCCTCGACGTGATCGATGGCGACACCCCGGACGCGGGAGGAGACGCGTCTGCAGATGGCGGCGGCGAGGCCTCGCTGACGCCGGAGCAGGAGGACGAGCAGGAGGAGTGTCAGGCCCACGCCGCGCCCTCGGACGCTACCTCGGCCGCCGCCGTGCTCCTCAAGAGCGCGGTTGCTCAGATCGACGATTATGTTCGTTCCGAGCGCTCCACCCCGCTGGAGCTCAGCGGCAGCCTCTCCGCGGGGCAGCGCAAGGCACTGCATGTCTACTGCGACCGCCACGGGCTACACCATTGCTCCGTCGGCATCGAGGGCAGCTCCCGCCGATTGGTGGTATGTCGCTGGAAGGCACTTGATTGCGTAACGCCCGAGGTTAGGGTGGTGGGGGTAGTGAGGCGGAGGAGGCGTCGGAGGAGGAGGAGGAGGAGGAGAGCGACGGCGACGGCGAAAGTGACGGCGAGGGTGGCGCAGCGATGGCGGTGCCTCCTCCTTCGCACACGCCACTGACTCGTTCTATTCAAGCGGTAGGCGCGCAGATCGGTGGCGCGCGCGGTGCTGGGCGCGGCGGGCGCGGCGGGCGCGGCGGGCGCGGCGGGCGCGGCGGGCGCGGCGGGCAGCACCGAGGTGGCCGTGCTGCCCTCGAGTGGCAGCTCCCCGCCGACGCGTCGGAGGAGCTGGTGCAGCGGTTTAACAAGATCAACGCCGACTTTGCGGACGATAGCATGCCGCCCATCGGCAGCGCGACTCGAGCGCGGTGGCTGAAGCAGCGGCGGCAGCGGCGGGCGCTGTGAGAGGTATGCGGAGGAGTCAGCTGGTCTAGCCCGAGAGCAGTATTATAAGGTGGCGAAGGCGAAGGAGAGGCGGAAGCGGAAGCGCCGACATGACGAGGAGGCGGGAGGGGTGGCACGCGCAGGCGGCGGCGGCGCAGGTGGCCGCGCAGTCCGGCAGGCAGCTCGCAGCATGTGGGACTTGTTTCGAGGGCGCTAGGCGCCGCCGTCGCCCGGCGTTAGCGCCGCCATTGCCGTCGCTGTTACTGCCCGCTCCACCGAGCTCGCTGAGCCGCCAGGGCCACGGCCACCTTCCTCACGGCCGGCGCTGCCACCGCCGGCGCCCTTATGGCCGCCTCTCGCGCCAGTGCAGCGTCGAGACACCGTCGCCACGATCGCCGTCGGTTCTGCTGCGCGGCCTCGGCGTAACCGTGGCGCGGTTCCGGCCTACCCATGCTGCCCTGGAGGCGTCCAGAGCCGAGCCCAGAGGGAGATGGCGTCCTATGGGGCATCTAGCTCGGGTGGGTGCGCGGCGGCGACCGGCGCAACCCTCGTTTGAACTTGTGTACTCTCTGTCTGTCTGTCAGCTGTTTCGGCTAAGTCGATTTGTACCGGATTTCGATGTTAGTGGCAAAACCGCGGAACCGAAAATGGCGTTTAATTTCGCGCACCTGCTGTCCGCCGCCTGCGGCGGCGCTCCGCGCCGCTTGGGGCGCCAGCGGCGCCCTTGGGCGCGCTGCGCGCGCCTGTTTTGGGGGGGCTACCAGCACCGAAAAAATGCCAATTTTACAAGTAACCAGAAACATGCCTGCCTCAACCACATGCACTGCGCGTTGGGTGTGTCTACGTGGTTGCGGCGCTGTGTGCGCGACAGCGATGCCGACAAAAGCCGTCGTGCGCCTTTGCCGCGCCACCTTGCTGTGCCTCATCACGCTATGTCGCGACCTTCCTACCTACCTACCTCCTACCTACCTACCCTACTTATGGGAAACTAAAAAAGAAAAGAAGGGGTGAGGTACTATACTGTACGAACTAAAGTGATGGTTGGTGGTACTCTCCTGCAACCACAGTCCTTCCTTTGACATGGCAGGCCACTCTCAAGCCCTACAAGCACCAGATCACCCATTTGGAGGGTGGCATCGTGATTTCCGCCGAATATTTCTTCTTCTGCTGTAAAAATTCCAGCGTGAAGAGAGGGGAAAACCCGACGGGAGGGCCCAGACCTACCCTACCTACCCCGGCATGAGTTCCGCCCCACGGCCACGCAAAAAGAATACGCTCGCGAGGTGGGGTGCTAGTCGTCTGAACCACAGCGTAAAAGAAAGAAAGAAAAGAGACATGGCAAGGGAGGGATGCACGTGCCACGTCCTGGTCTGTGCTGCACATGCTACGTCCTGCCTGGTGATGTGCTTGAGCATCTTGTTGTTGTGGCATGTGCTGCCACCCGCCCCCGCTCCCGCCCCCACTCCCGCTCCCGCCGTTCCCGCCCCCGCTCCCGCCCCCGCTCCCGCTCCCCGCTCCCGCCCCCGCTGCCGCCCCCGCTCCCGCTCCCGCTCCCGCTCCCGCTCCCGCTCCCGCTCCCGCTCCCGCTCCCGCTCCCGCTCCCGCTCCCGCTCCCGCCGCAGAAGTCGCCAACGACGAGGGAGTCGGCGGTGCCACGGGGGGGTGGGGTGACGGTCCTCTCGCAGACCGTCTGCGAACGGCGATGGTGAACGGGCATTGCATCACCTGCATCGGTCCCTTAGCGCTCGTTGCTCTTCACTGCGGCGCCTTGTTCGAGTTCACGCAGCGCCCGCACCCGGTTTTTCACGGCGTAGTTACCAAGGAGGTCCCCCCCCCGCTTTAACCGTGCATCTCCAAGCCCGCCGGCAAACATAATCAGGGAAAACACCGACAGGAGCAGCAGCACAGCGAAGATGATCGGTGGACGCATCCTGTGGGGCGAGGCGAACGCAAATTTGCTCGACTCGCGACCGTGGTCTCGCAAGACGAGACACAAAGCGAGCCCAAGTAGGGTTCCTTAGTATCGATAGAAAGATGAGAGTTCTTCCGCGAGTGAGAGGGGGACGTTACATCCTACATCTTCAAGACCCGCAGGCGCTGCGCGCCTTCCCGCCTAATCATAAAAATGACATATAAGGTCGGACTCACCTGGACTTCGCCAGCTTTTAGCGGCTCCCTACCCTACGTGCCGTCGTGCACCAAGCGGCAAGCGTGGTTCGATCCACGCTATTTCCTACCTTAACTACATAATACTCCGTCCGAGCCCGTGCGTAGGTGTGCGTAGCACGTCCCTTCACATATACGGTTCATACTACGGGCGCGGGTACATCAAGGGGTCGCGGGGCTACTACCACGACGCCCTCTTCAACAAGGGCAACCGCGTGATCGTTTGGGTCGTCGAGAACCTCGGCGGCATCTGCCCCCAGGGCATGAGCCGCCTTCGACGCAACGCGCGCTTCGCCAAGTCGCCAGGTGCGCGGGACGGCACCAAGTACGGCCTCAGCCGTAGCAGCCCGCGTTCCTACCTGGCCCACCACATGCAGATGATCTCCGCCGCCGCCGTCGTCTCCGACGCCAAGAACGGCCGCCGCCAGCTCAGCTGCCTCAAACGCCGCCGCGCCACTCAGGCTTCGGCCTAAGTTGCTGCGCGGCAAACGGACCCTCACCGAGTGCCGTGCCGCGGCCACTTTTTGACATACTCCGTCCGAGCCCGTGCGTAGGTGTGCGTAGCACGTCCCTTGACATATACGGTTCATACTACCAGGTACGGTACCTCGTCGAGAGCTGCAGCGGCGCCGCATCGCCCCGGAGCCCTTCGCTGGCTCGCCTCCGCCGCAACGCTCGTTTCGCCAACACCAAGAACGGCGCTCCTACTACACGCGCGTAATGGTCCTCGCCCCCACCGATGTCCTCCGATGCTTCGCCGCCACTGCTTGCGCTGGGGGCTCTGTGGTCGTGCCACATCTTTCCTCGCCCTGTTTCGCCGTCTTTGTGTTCGACATGGGCATCGAGGTGAGCGCTCTCAACTTGGCTCTCATCGCTTGCATGTGCGCCATCGCCATGTTTGCCCCTGGCCTCCTGATGCGCCGATTTCTTGGCCGCCTGAAGACGGCTGCCATCGCCGCCGAATGCCCCCCGTCATGGCGTGATCACGTGCACCGCACAATCGTTGTCGGAGGCCTGCCGCTGACGACGGCTGCGGCCGCCGCTCATTGCCACCTGCTGGTTCAGCGGCTCCGGGAGCAGAGCTTCATGGCTGATGCCATCTACCGCGGCGCGGACGGAGAGCTTCGTATGACCGACGGCATGGAGAGTGAGCACCGCGTCACGGGACCGCCGCCGCACGCCACCGCCCTCTACCACCTGGCGCTGGCGAGTGGCATGCTGCTCGCCTTTGTGGTGCAAGGCATCACAATCGGCGCGAGGTTCATGCTGGAGACGCGGCACGGCACGCGCGGCCGCATCATGGCTCTTCACCGCACAAGTGGGCGCGCCTTTGCCTTTTGTGGCCACTGCGTCATCTTCACCTCGCCGGCAATGTCGGCCACCATACCAGTCGTGGAATTCCGTCGCTTTGCCGCGATGCTGGGGTTTGCGTATGCGGCGGGCTTTCAGCGGCTGCTGCATCACGCGCGCAGCGGCACTTACCATGCGTGCGCCGCGCACGCCCCAGCCCTCCCTCCTGCCTCGGCCAAGACTCCCACCCTGCATGGCGGCGGTTGCACCTAAAGCGCCTTGCTCCCAATTCCCCTTCGATCGGCACAGGGGGCTGCTCGCGTGGCGCCCTTCCGCGCGTTGACATTCACATCCACACTTTACCTCCCCATTTGTGCTGACAAGGCTGTGCTTGCCACGCGCCGCAGACACCGCGCGTGGAGCAGCTTCCTGAGCCACTTGTTCTTCATTTCGTTCGGGATGAACCCAATCCTCGTGAAAATCGCACACCTTCGCCATCACCCGGCGAGCTCGTCGATGGCCGTGGAGATAGAAGGAGCGGACTGGTTCTGGGCCGTGTTGATCTTCTTTTCGCTGGTTGTGGCGGCCGTCGTCAGTGAACAGCAGCAGGTCGCTGAAATGCGTCCGCATACGAGTGCCGCTTGGGGCACCGTGGTACTGCTGCTCGCAGCGGCAGGTTTCGTGACATTCATCGTGTAGCGGCCGAGCTCTGCACTCTCACACGGATACAGCTGTATCTCGCCGCGCGGGAGACGCCAACACCACGTGACATCACGTGTGTCGTGTATGTTGTATTGTTGGCGTTTATGGCGGGTGCGCGAGCTGGGGATGTGCACGAGGTAGCGAGTGGCGAGTTCTCGAGAGTCGACTGTAAGGCACTACTATACTCTACAACGTGTAGAGGTTTTTATAAGGCAATACGTGCTCTTTTGCCTTCCCGAAACTTTATATCATTTTATCTAGACGAACAATTCGAAAGCTTCGTCCAAATATATCGCGTCCAAAATCAATTACATTGAGCCGTAGGCTCGGTCATATGCGGCCGTGAGGCCATATCGTTTGTCACGGAGTTCGCTCAGTGTGCTTCAAGCTTGCGCACGAATTCTAATCTGAAATTCTCTGTCCGGTGTCTGCACACTTACTGTGCAAATAGCAAGCCCTTGGGCGAGCTGCACAAGAGGCGAGCGGGACGCTCGTCTCCGTCCTCACACACACACATAACCCCCCCGTTTGGCGTGTCGCCCTAACTCTACCTTCTCATACCCGAGTCCCAATGAATTATATATATGTGTGCTGTTTTATAGCCATACTGCAATCCTGCTCATATGCACAGGTAACAGTATAGCTGTACATGGACACAGCAGCGCCAGCAACAGCCGCAGCCGCAGCAGCCGCAGCAGCCGCCGCCGCAGCCGCCGCAGCAGCTGCAGCGCCCTCACCTGAGGCAGCCGCGGCTGTTGCGCCGCTCCAGACGCCCGCAGCTGACGCTCCCGCGGCGGCCGCCGTGCTGCTGCCCGCGAGTGCGGCGGCGCCGTCGAGCCCTCCCGGCAGCCACGCCAACGGCG